GGCTAACCTAGAGAAGAAAGAGAATCCTGGAACACTTGATTGTGCTCATGTGAAACTTATACAGGGAACAGGAAACAGTCATCAGAACAGAGCAAGGAAACATGCATTCATGGTTCAAAATCAGGAAAGGAGTGCATCAGAGATATGTTTGATCTCCATACCTTTTCAATCTGCATGCAGAGCAGATCATTCAGGGGTCTGCATGAGGAGGAATGTGGCATCAGGATTGGAAGAAGACTCAACAACCTATGTTATTCAGATGGCACAACCTTGCAACCTATGTTATTCAGATGGCACAACCTTGCTTGTTTAAATTGAGGAGTACCTGAAGAGCTTGCTGCAGAAGATAAAGGACTGTAGTCTTTAATATGGATTGAAGCTCAACATCAAGAAAACAAAGATTCTCACCACTGGGCCAATTTGCAACACCATGACAGACAGAGAAGTGATTGAGGTTGTTAACAATTACAGCGTGCTCGGCTCTGCAATCAACACTCTTAATTAACATCAGCAGTCAGAAAATCAAAAGATGAATTACACTGGGAAAATCTGCTCTCCTGGAGTTCTCCAGAGTGCTAAGAAGAAACTATGTCAGTCCAGAGACTAAGGTGTGCCTGACCCAGACCATGGTCTTTGCAATTGCTTGCTATATATCAGAAAGCTGGACAATGACTAAGGATGACAGAAGAAGAATTGTATATCTTTGAGTTCTTTTTCTGGAGAAGAGTCTTGAACATATTGTGGACTGCCAAGAAAACAAATAGGTCTGTCTTGCAGAGGGTGAAACCAAGTTTCTCCTTGGAGGCTGGGATTTTGAAGCTCCGTCTCACATACTTTGGGCACATGGAGAGACTGGTCCTTGGAGAAGGACATCATGCTTGGAAGGGTGGACGGAGAGTGCAGGAGAGGAAGATCCCGGATGAGATGGATTGATACAGTAACTGAAGTAATGGAGGTAGGTGTGTTGGAATCAGTGAGACTGGCCAGGACAGGACAGGCTTTTAGGGTCTCTATGAGTCTGAGATGACTCAACAGCACATAACAACAATATATAACCCCTTCCACAATTTGATCCCTCTACCTTTGAACACCTCCAATATCTGGCTCCTACAAAAATCTGATCCCCTCTAGCTCCAGGGGAGCTCTGGTGGCCTAGTGGCAAGAAGCTGCACTGAAATCCCAAAAGGCATGTAGTTCAAATCCACCAGCTACTCTGTGGGAGAAAAATGGACACTCTCTTGTAGGATTAACTGTCTCTGAGAACCCTCTGGAGTGTCAGCAATGGGTCAGTTCTGACTAATGGTACAAAACAATAACAACCAACATCCAGTGCCCACCTCTGATGCCCTCCATCTGACCCCCTCTAATGTCTGATTTGACTCCCTCCAATATTTGACACCCACCAGCATTTGAATTCCTCCAACACCTGATGCCCTCCAGTATCTAAACCCTTCCAACATCTGATGCCTGCCAACATCTTATCTCCTACAACATTTGGCCCCCTCCAACTTCTGACCCCTCTGCCATCTGATGCCCTTCAATATCTCATGCCCTCCATCAATATATGATGCCCACCAACATCTGACCTCCTCCAACATCTGATGCCCTCATACATCTTATCCCCTTCAACATTTGACCCCCTCCAACATCTGGCACCCACCAACATCTTACCTCCTCTAGCATCTGATGCCCTCCAACATCTGACCCCCTCCAATATCTGACACCATCAACATCTGATTCCTTCCAACATCTGACCCCCTCCAACATCTGATCTCCTCCAACGTCTGATGCAATCCTACATCTGATTCCCACCAACAACTTATACCCACTAACGTTTGACCCCTTCCAACTTCTGAACTCCAACATCTGATGCCTACCAACAGTTGATACCTTCCAACATCTGACATCACCAACATCTGACTCCCTCCAATGTCTGACCCTCTCCAACAAATGATGCCCTCCACCATCTGACCTCTTCTTCCAACATGACACCATTTAACATCTGACACCCCCCAACATCTGACGCCCTGCTACATCTGATCCCCTTCAACATCTGATACCTTCCTACATCCCACACCCACCAACATCTTATCCTCTCCAACATTTGATCTCTTCCAACTTCTGACCCCCTCCAACATCTGACGCCCTCCAACATCTGACACCCTCCAACATCTGATGACCTCATCATCTTATCCCTTCCAACATATGAACCTCTCCTATACGCAACTTCCTCCAACATCTGATCTCCTCCAACATCTGACAATGTCCAAATAGTGGCCTTATTCAACGCCTCATCTTCTACAACATTGGAACATCTGACTCCCACAAAATTCTGATCCCCTTCCAAACATATGACTTACTTAAAAATCTGATCTCTCTATCTTTGTGCCCCTCCAACATCTGATCCTCTCAACACCTGATCTCAATGCCCAACATGTAATCTCCTCCAACATCTCACTCTCTCCAACATCTGATGCCTTCCAACTCCTGATTCACCCCAACATCTGATACTCTAAAACTTTAACTTCAAACATCTAATCATGTAAAAAATCTGACACCCTCCAATATCTGACCATGTCTGACATCTGACCATATCCAATATCTGTTTTCACCCAACACCTAACCCTGTCCAAAATCTGACCGCCTCCTACACCTCGTCCCTTCCATCTTTGATTCACTCCAGCATCTGACATGTTCAACATTTGATTCCCACTAAATCTGAGTCCCTCCAACCTCTAACCCCTTACAATATCTGATCCCTTCCAACAGCTGACCTCCTCTAACATCTGACACCTTCCAACATTGAATCCCTCCAAAATCTGATTCTCTCCAATTTCTGATCATGCCTAACAGCTAAAATTTGACCATGTCCAACAATTGATCCCCTCCAACTTCTGATCTTCTATCCATCTGATCATGTCCAACATCTGATCACATTCAACATTTTATTCTGATTCATTTAAATCTGATTCTCTTCAATATCGGATCACGCCCAACAGCTAATATTTGACCCTGTCCAACCATTGACCCACTCCAACTTCTGATTTTCCATCTATTTGACCATGTCCAACGTCCGACCACATTCAACATTTTATTCCATCCAACATCTCACCAAATCTAGAATCTGACCCCTTTCAACATCTGATCCCTTCCCAAATCTAACATATAAAATAACTGATCTCCTCTAACATCTGATCCCTTCTAATATCTGATCTCCACTAACACCTAACCTTCTCCAACATCTGACTCCATAAAATATCTGATCCTCTTCAACATCTAACCCATGCCAACATCTGACAGTATCCAATATCTGGTGCTCTATCACATCTAGTTCCTACCAATGTCTGATCCTTTCAAATATCTGATTCTAACATCTAACCTACCCCAATCTTACTCCCTCCACCATTTGAGCTTGGAGAATATCTCTTCACCTCCAACATAGATCACCTCCAAAATATGATCCCTTGCAATATCTGATCTTCTCCAACATCTGAAATGTCCAATATCTAATACCCTTCAACTTCTGTCATGTCCAACATCTCATCCCCTCCAACATCTGACTATACCCACCATCTGACATCACTCAACATCTGGTCCCCTTCAACTTTTAATCCTTCCAACATCTGACCATATATAACATTTCATTCATTCCAACATCTGACCATATCCTAACTTCTGATCCATCCAACATCTATCTGATGCCCTCCAACAATTGACCATATTCCTCATCTGACTCCATTCATCATCTCAACATGTCTCAAATATGGCCCTCTCCAATATCTGACATGTCCAACTAACATTATTCTCTCTAATATCTGAATTCCCACCAATATATTACCATCTATATATCTGATCTCCACCAGCGTCTGATTCCCTCCAACATCTAATTCTAACTTCTGATCTACTCCAATGTCTGACTCCCTTCAACATCTGACCCTTCTCAAACATCTGACCCCATGCATTGTCTAACTCCTTCTATTATATCCTTCCTCCATTTCCTTACCTCCAACATCTGATCACCTCAAAAATCTGGTCCCTTCCAACTTCTGACCCAATAAGAATCTGACTCCACCCACTGACCATGTGTAACATCTGATTTCCTCCAACACTTGACACTCTTCAACATCTAATCCCTCCAGCATTGACCCCCTCCAACATGTGATCCTTCCAATTTCTAATTTCCTCTGGTGTCTGATCATGTCCAATTGCTGTCCTCCTCCAACATCTGACCCCATTCTACATCTGAGCCACTCCCATTTATGATTCCCTCAACATAGGACCATGCCCAATATCTGACTCTTTCTTTCCAACATCTGACACCATCCAAAATCTGGCCCTTTCCAAAATCTGAACCCCTCCAACATCTGATCTCCAACATGCCCCTGGAACATCTGACCATGTCTGAAATCTGATCCCTTCCAGCATATGGTCCCCTCCAATATCTGATCCCCTCCAAAATCGGATCTAACTTCTGAACCTACCCAAAATCTGACTCCTACCAACATCTGATGCCTTCTAAAATATGGTATCATCAAATATCTGATCCCCATGCCCAATATGTGATCCCTTTCTAAAATCTCATCTTCTAGAACTAGCATCCCCTCTAATATCTGACCCACTCCAACATCTAGCCATGTCCAACATATATGTTCCCCTCCAAAATCTGATCCTGTAAATCCTCCACTTCCAATCTCTGATCCTCTCCAACATACTATGCCCTCCAATATCTGATCCTTTCCAAATCTGTCTCCCTCCAATATCTGATCACCTCACACTTATGACCCATTTCAACATCTGACCCGCAAAATCTCACTCCCACCAACATCTGATACCTCCATCATCTAAACCCTTTCAATATCTGACTACTGGATTAAAATAGCTCTGTTGTCAGTACAGCCACCAGGAAGGTTCAGACCTCCACTCATTATCCCTGAAATCCACATTTCCACAGAAAACCCAAATGGCAGCCCCCACATGGACAGACAGAAGGTGTGCCTCACTGTTTCTGCACTGGCTTTCTCCTCTTCCTGCCTGCATACAGGCACTCCCCCGGCGGGATCATCCTGGGCCTACGAGAGAAAGGAGCTGCGTTGGCACGTAGAGCACACACCTCAGGTTGCAACGCAGGAGCCACTTGGTGCTTGGCCTCTCAGGAGCACCTGGTGCCTGCTCCCACCCTCCTGGGACCCCACTGCGGTAGTTCGCAGAACATCACAGCAACCCCTTCTGATGATGTGGTGCACACCTTTGGTTGTGGTCAGAGAGCCACGGGCATCTCTCCCCAACTGTGACATCACATTCAACCTCACTGGGCCCCTCACAGGTTCAAGCATCCACCCAAGAGCCATCATGGCCCTGCGCTGGTCACCACACTCACACTTGGACAGTCTTTTTGGCACAGTGAGTGCAGGGCGATGGCATGCAGGGCTCAGGTTGGGGGTAGAGTGCACCCCAAAAGTGCTGAGTCAGTTGCAAGGAAGCATTCAAGCTGTCTCACCCTGTGGTCTCTGTGGCAGGACGTCTTCCCGTCTGTGGTCTTGTTCTTCTGGGCTAGCTGCTGCCTCTTCCCTATAAGGCCTCTCACCACGCTGCTACAGGCTCCATCTCAAACCCATGCCTGCTCTAAGCCTGGCTGGTTGCTGGCACTTATCAAACAATGGGGCCGGCACCAGCACATGCATCCAAGGGAGGCCACTGACCCCACCTTGCTGACACCCTCACCGAGGAGGGCATTGCCTTGGCAGCACATCAACCTGCCATGGTGCCTCCTTCTCACTTCCCTGTAATGACATCTTGTTGACTCTCAAGGAAGGACCATGTCAGCTCTGGTCAGTAGGAGTTGAAGAGATTATGTAGAGCACGGGCTCTAGTCTGAGAGGGAGCAGGCCCAGATGTGGTCCTTACACTTTGTAGAAAGTGCTTGAGATGTCAGAACAGTGTCACAGACACACTCCAAACACGAGAAACCCACTTCACACACAAAGACATGAGTGAAGAGCAAACGGACAGAAAATGATTCAGCAAGCAGGCATCAGGACAAAGCTGGAGTGTGTCACCAAACCAAGTGTGTATGAAGTGTTGAATTTAAAAACCAATCTGCTCTATGAACTTTGACCCAAATCACAATAAAAACTGAAGAAAAGGGAAAAAGCTGGGCTAACCACCATCAGCTGGTCAGAGAGGGACATGTCAGGTGCCACCAGGCAGGTTTCAACTCGCAGTGATCCCTGCATGGCCCTGCCCCGTCCTCACAGCCACTGTGGTGTTTGAGCCCATTGCTGCAGCTCCGTGTCAGTCCACCTCATTGACGGTTTTCCGCTTTTATGCTGACCCTCCATTTTTTTGTGTGTACTGACCCTCTATCATGTCCTTCTCTGGGGATTGGCATATTTATGAAAAACTATACTCAAACAAATATAGAAACCTAGAGGAAATGGACAAATACTTAGAAATTCACAACATACCTAAACTGACACAAACCGAAATTGAACACCTGAACAGACCCATTACAAAAGAAGAAATTGAACAGGTAAGAAAACAACTTCCAGCCCAAAAAAAAAGCCCTAGACCAGATGGTTTTACAAGTGAATTTTATCAAACATTCAGAAAAATATTGTCACCAATTCTAAATAAACTATTTCAGAAAATAGAAAAAGATGGAATTCTCCCAGATGCATTCTATGAAGCAAACATATCTTTTACATCAAAACCAAGTAAAGACACCACCAAAACAGAACACTATAGGCCAATATTTTTCATGAACATAGATGCAAAAATACTGAATAAAATCCTGGCCAATAGAATCCAAAAATAAAAACAATTCACCATAACCAAGTGGGATTCATAACAGGTATGCAAGGATGGTTCATCATAAGAAAAATAATCAGTGTGATTCATCACAATAACAAAGCAGAGAACAAGAACTACATGATCCTATCAATTGATGCAGAAAAGGCCTTTGACAAAATCCAACACACTTTCCTGACTAAAAAATTCAACAAAATGGTAATAGAGGGGAATTTCCTCAACATAGTAAAAAGTATATATGCAAAACCAAGAGCCAACATGTTCTCAATGGAGAGAGATTAAAAGCATTCTCTCTGAGAACAGGAACTAGGCAAGGATGCCCACTATCACCTCTCCTATTCAATAATGTATTGGAAGTCTTTGTGATAGCAATAAGACAAGAGAAGGAAATAAAAGGTATCTAAATTGGCAAAGAGGAGGTAAAATTATCTCTCTATGCAGATGATATGATAATATACTTAGAAAACCCTAAAGACTCGGCAAGAAAACTACTGGACATAGTTGACCAATTCAGCAAAGTGGCAGGATACAAGATCAACATACAAAAATCAGTTGGATTTCTCTACAGTGACAGAGAGAATACAGAGCTGGAGCTAAGAAAAAAATACCCATCTCAATAGCTAATCACAAGGTTAAACACTTGGGAATAAATCTAACTAGAAACACAAAGGATCTATTAAAAAAATTACAAAACATTACTTCCAGAAAAAAAAAGAGACCTGGAGAAATGGAAGAATATACCTTGCTCTTGGATAGAAAGACTCAGTTCTATGAAAATGACAATACTACCAAAGGCAATTTATACGTTCAATGCAATCCCAATACAAATACCAATTTTATTCTTCAATGAGATGGAAAAGGCATTCTCCAATTTCATTTGGAATGGAAAGATATATCAAATAAGCAAAGCACTCCTTAAAAAGATAAACAAGGTAGAAGGCATCTCACTCCCTGATTTCAAATCATATTACACTGCCATGGTAGTCAAGACAGTGTGGTACTGGTACAATGACAGACACATAGATCAATGGAATAGAATTGAGAACCCAGAAATCAGCCCATCTACCTATGGTCAACTGATTTTTGACAAGGAAATGAAATTAGTTAAGTGGGGAAATGGCAGCTTTTTAAACAAATCGTGTTTGGCAAAATTAGAAAACTATCTGCAGAAAACTTAAGCAAGACCCGCACTTTACACCATACCCCTAAAACATCTCAAAGTGGATCAAGGACCTAGGACTAAAACCAAGGACTATAAACTTCATTAGAGAAAAATTAGGAAGAACTTTAGAAGCCCCAATCCACAACATGAACAGTCTTCCAAGCATCCTGAAAATCCTACAACCAGGAGAGAATAAAATAGAGAATGGGACCTTCTAAGAATCAAATTCCTAAGCACATCAAAACAACTTCTTCAATAGGGTAAAAAGGTAAGCCACAGACTCTGAAAAAATATTTGGTAATGACATGTCTGATAAGAGACTTATATCTAGAATTTATAAAATACTCAAGCACCACAACAAGATAAAGGTAAACAACCCCATCACAAAATGGGAATAGGCTATGAACAGACACTTCAACAAAGAAGACATTCATATGGCAAACAAACACATGAAGAAAAGTCCAAAATCTCTAGCTCTAATAGAGATGCAAATCAAAACAACTATGAGATATAACCTCAGTAACAATAGCAAAATTCAACAGAGCCACAAACAACAAATGCTGGCGAGGTTGTGGAGAAACTTCAACCCTTATTCACTGTTGGTGGGAGTATAAAATGATGCAACCACTATGGAAGGCAGTATGGTGCTTTCTCAAAAAGTTGGAAATAGAAATATCATTTGACCCAGTAATTCCACTACTGGAAATATATCCTAAAGAAATCAGAACTGCCATGCAAGAAGATATATACACACTCATGTTTATTGCTGTGTTGTTCACAATTGTAAAGGGATGGAAACAATCCAAGTGCTCGTCAACAAACAAATGGCTAGAGAAGCTGTGGTATATTCACACAATGGAATAGTATGCAGCACTGAATAACAAGGAACTCAAAATATTATGCAAAATGGGTGACCCTGGAGGAGGACATTATGCTGAGTGAAATAGCTCAGTCACAAAAAAACAAATCCTGCATAAATCAACTGTTTTAAAACAGGACTGACATAGGAGTTGGGGGAAACTGAGAAAAGATGGGATAAATAATGTACACTGCAGGGAAGCAGATGAGGCAAAGAACTGCTTAAAAGGAATATATGAATAGGTATTATGTGTAGGACAACAGTCCAGAATAAGAGCTGCAGAGTAAACTGGACTGGGGCGAGGGTATGGAATTGTACAACAATGAAAAAAATTTTTTCCCAAAAAGAAAAGCAAACTGGGGGGATGCAAGGAGGAAAAAGTGCAGTAATGAATGAATGGAAATCCAAGTTCTCAATAAACTGTCATTAAAATCTCAATTAAAAAAAGAAAAAAGATGTTTGCAATTTAAAAAAAAAGAAAAAGAAATGTAAAGAGAGTTCTTCCCTTAAATTCTCCAGGTCCAGCTCTCTGCACATTCCATTATAAGACTTTGTTTTCTTGAGCTGCCCGTTGAAATCTTATGTTCCGTTATCTCACTTTGGCATGTTTTCCCTTCACATTTCACCAAAAAGAAAAAATTTGTGCATTTAAGAAGAGAAACTTACTAGAATGGACCAATACAATTTGTCTTTTCATTTCCTGGCTGCTAGTAGCAAGAGTATTGATTGTGGAGCCAAGCAAATGAAACTAAATTCAGCCTGTTGTTGCTGTTGTTATGTGCAGTCGAGTCGCCTGCGACTCATAGCGACCCTCTGTACAGTAGCCCTAAATGCTGCCCTATCCTGTGCCAATCTCACTGTCTCTGACACGCCTACCCCCACTACCCCAGTCACTGAATCAATTCATCTCATCGAGGGTCTTCCTTTCCTGAGCTGCCCCTCCACCCACCCAAGCATCACGTCCCTTCCCAAGGACTGGT